AAAAACAGCATTGATGACCTTGGAAAAAGCATCCCATGAAAAGTCTTGGAGCTAAGAGGAGGTACCAGGACAATCCTCACATTCTTCAGGACTTGTGAGGTTCCAAGGGGAAGGTTGCGAAGTCCCCAGGAGGCTGGTGGCTCTATGGAATGTGGGTGTAGGCTTTGGGGGGATGGCACATGGGATGAATTTTCCTTACCTCGGAGGCCAGGCAGGCCGGGAAGACCACGTTCTCCCTCCAACCCTTCACTTCCTTGGTCTCCTTTGGGTCCTGGTGGCCCTGAAAGACAGCAGGAGTTGGAGGAAAGGAATCCCAATCTGGATTTAGTGATGTGCAGGAGGTCCAGGAATGTCCAGGACACACAGACAGGATCAAATTGGCACCAAGAGAGCTTTTCAGGAGCAAATTTTCCATGATTTATGGATGTTCAAGTCCAAACATGACTCCATCAACCTTCTCCATGTGCCAGAAAGCTTCACCTGGAAAGTCCTGTGGTTCCACCTGTGGGAATCTCCTTTAGTCCAAAAGTTGTGACATTCTCAATGGAATCATTGCAAGAAATAAGGGAAAAATATCTCCTTTGGGAATTTTGGGATGTGCCATTGGGAAATGCCAATTCCACTGACGTTTTGGGAAGAGTCATAGAATCCCAGACTGGTGTGTGTGGGAAGGAACACAGAATTCCAACCCCCTTGCCATGGGCAGGGACACCTTCCACTAGCCCAGGTTGCTCCAAGCGCCATCCAACCTGGCCTGGAACACTCCCAGGGATGGAGCAGCCACAGCTGCTCTGGGCAACCTGTGCCAGTGCCTCACCACCCTCACAGCCAGGAATTCCTTCGCAATATCCCATCTCTCCCTGCCCTCTAGCAGGGCCTCACCACCCTCACAGGGATGGTCCATCCCCAGGCCCAGCTGCTGGGATGGGGCACAGGAAGCATCTGGGGTGAAGGAGCACTGGGAAGAGCTGTTGGGAGAGGCACTGCCAAGCTGATCCCACCCTGCAGTGCCTGAAGTTTGTACTCTGGAATCCTCATCCCTGTTTCCTCCTGGCTTCTCCCTCCTCCTGCCCAGAGCTCCTCATACATCCCCTGAGGGGAAAATCCCTCCAAACCCTCCGGGATGAGACCTTCCATGGCAAGAACGGCCCAGACGGGACCATGGTGTCACCCTGCCAGACCTGCTGGGAGCCACGTCATCCCACCAGGGAGTGCTGCAAGTAGATCCAGGTGGATGCTGCATCCCAGGAATCAGGATTGGAGACCCCAAACCCCTCAGTGCTGCGAGGCCAAACCCTCCCTGAGCCACCTGAACTGCTTGGTGTGGGCCTTGGCTGCCAGAGAGGAGCCTGAAGACATTCCCAAGCTGCCAAGCAGCCCTGGAAGCCAAAACCTGGAATAGCTGTCTTGGAAAGGAAGGAAAACATCCTCCCAAGCATCAGGGATCAGTTCTGCTGGTGCAAATCCAGCTGGGAATGTGGTGGACTCACCCAAGACCATCTGGAGTTAGGGTGAAGCCAAGCTGGGCACAAGGATCCTAAAGTCCCTGAGGCAGGGAAGGAGGAGGGATGGGATGGGATAAGGATGCAGATGGGGATGGGGTTTGGATGAGGATAAGGATGGGAACGGGATGGGGATGGGGATGGGATTGGGATGGGATGTTATGGGGATGGAGTGAGATGAGGTTAGATGGGGATGGGATGCCAGGAATGTGTCAGGGCTGATAAATCATGTCCTTGGGAAGGAATTTGGTTTGCTTTCTTTTTTTGGTGTTAATTTGGATAACACAATTCCAGGCCTGTTGGACTCTGGGTTGATCCCAATCCTCTCCCCATCCTTGATGGCTTCATCCCAGAGCAGGTGACATTGTCCCCACGGAGTGGATGGAAAAGAGGCACCAGGGATGGGTGGGAAGCTATGAAGACCTCAAGGCAGTGGGTGCAATGTGGTCTCAGCAGCCTACTTCCAGGATTGGGAGCCAACATTCCCCAAGGATGAAAGAAATGATCCTCAGGAGCTGCTGGTAGCTCAAGGTGATGGCTCTCCTGGATGAAGGGATGGAGCTGCTGTGGATCAAAGCACATCTGTCCCCTCTGGCTCCCTGAGCCAGATAGACGAAGGGAACAAGTGCCTTGGCCCTGTCCTTCCCCATCTGGAATTCCAGCTGGGAGCACCAGAAACGAGCAACAGCTCATGGTGTCTCCACAGGTGCAACCAACAGCCTCAAAGTAGGACAGAGCTGCCTCCAACCTCCTGCTCCACTCCCCAACCTCCTGCTCTCCCCCAGGACCTTCCACACAGCTCTTCCAGGTTTTTCCATGGGTTTTCCACTTCCCTGGCACAGAAGAAGCTGTGGCTGCCCCATCCCTGGAAGTGTTCCAGGCCAGGTTGGACAGGGCTTGGAGCAACCTGGGCCTGTGGAAGATGTCTCTGGGTGGGACTGGATGAGCTTTAAGGTTCCTTCCTACCCAAACCATTCTGGGACTTGGGAGGGGCTGAGCTTTGAGGGAACCTTGGAAGCTTCATTCCTAACATGGATGGAGGAGCACTTGGAGAATCAAAAAGTCCAAGTTGATGGGCACTGTAGACTGTGTCAACACTGTAGACATCTAAACAGTGATGTCCTAGGGCCACTTCTGGGCCCTCATGACAAGGACATTGAGGGGCTGGAACATGTCCAGGGAAGGGAATGGAGCTGGGGAAGGGGCTGGAGCAGCAGGAGGGGCTGAGGGAGCTGTGGGGGCTCAGCCTGGAAAAAAGGAGGCTCAGGAAGGACCTTCAGCTCTCTGCAACTCCTGACAGGAGGTGCAGCCAGGTGGGGTCAGGCTCTGCTCCCAGGGAACAAGGGACAGGATGAGAGGAAACACCTCAAGCTGTGCCAGGGGAGGTTCAGGTTGGCCATCAGGAGGAGTTTCTCCATGGGAAGAGCTGTCAGGCATTGGAAGAGGCTGTCCAGGGCGGTGATGGAGTCACCACCCCTGGAAGGATTTAAATCCATGTAGATGTGTCACTTGGGGACATGGTCAGTGGTAGCCTTAGCAGTGCTGGGAATGGTTGGACTCAATGGCCTTAAAGCTCCTTTCCAACCTAAACAATCCCATGACTCCATGACACCTGGAGGCTTTGCCACACCAAAGAGACATCCCCCAGGACACCTCCATTCCACAATGACCATTCCCACCCTCTTCCTCACCACACCTCCATCCACCAGGGACGGAGCTTCTCACCTCGTATCACTGAGATGTTCCTCAGCGCCATGGAGTGCTCCCAGTCCTTCATCCTCAGGTCCTCAGTGACATTGTTTAGGATGGCCAACTCCTGCTTCAGCTGCTGCTCCATGGCTATGTGCAGCAGCCGCATGTGCCGAGCATCCTCAGTGGCATTGCTCAGCAGCACCTGCAGGTCCTGCAGACGAGTGTGGTGGATGTTCACGTCATAGGAGAAGGTCCTGTTCATGGTGTCCATGGCAGCGCTCACAGCCATCACCTGGTCGCTCAGGACGTCCACCCTGCCCCCCAGGTGGCTCAGGAGGTGGTCGTGGTGCTGCAGCAGCAAGCGGCTGCTGTTGGCTTCCACGGAGAGTTTGTAGATGTCCTGCTGGGCTGTGTCGCCCTGCTGGGTCAGGCTGTCCCACAGGTTGGACACCACCTTGTCTGTCTGACTGCTCTGGGACTGCAGGCTCCAGAGGAGTCCTTCCAGCTTCTGCAGGGATCCCATCATGAGGAACAAGGAGTCTGAGTGGTTCTGCAGGAGGTCCTGCAGCCTCCAGATGTGGTCCAGCATGTCTCCCTTCGCAGGGAGGTGCAGCAGCTTCAGCTGCATGTCCCGGAAGCTCTCGTTGAGGCGGTTCATGTTGCCCAGCAGCACCTTCAGGTCCTCAGGGGATGTTTGTGGCCTGGAAACTGCGAGGGAGGGAGAGGATTGGGGTGTCAGAACCTGCACATGGAGGTGGGGACACCACAGGGAGGTGTGACCCATGCCCTCCCAAGGAGTGAAGGGACATTCCCATGACCTTCAGTGCCTGGAGGTGAAATACCAATCTCAAACCCCAAGAGGTTCAGCCCATCAGCCCCTCTTGGACAACACAGTTGGAGAAGGGCTGAGAATCATGGAATCATGGACTGGTTTGGGTTGGAAGGAGCTCAAAGCTCATCCCATCCCACCCCCTGCCATGGGCAGGGACACCTCCCACCAGCCCAGATTGCTCCAAGCCCCATCCAACCTGGTCTGGAACACTCCCAGGGGCACCACAGTGCCAGAGGCATCCCTGGAAGGTGTCCCAGCTCAGGACGGACATCCAAGCCTCCAGGATTTTTCAGGTGGGACACAATGCTCTGGAGCTCTGCCACATGCTGCTCGCAGCCTCTGCTTTTCCTTCCTCCAAACAGACCCAAATCATCCCGTTCCCCTGCAGAGGTTTGAATTCCCACGTTTGCACTCAGGTTTCCCTCCTGGCTGTGGATCCTGCCCTGAAGCTGAGCCCTGGCTCAGGGACAAGGACCTCGAGGTTGCATGGTGGGTTGGATGGGGCTGGAGCAGCCTCCAAGCACCACAGCCCTCAGACATCCATATCCAGGGGCTGCCAGGCCCTTCCTGAGGGAGAAACCCAGCTCAGCTCCGACTATCCATACCCAGAGGCTGTCAAGGCTCTTTCTGAGGGAGGAAACAAAACTCAGCTCTGCATCATCTTCATCCCATATCCAGGGGTCTTCCCAAGGGAGGAAATTCACCCTGGCTTAGGGGAAATCCATATCCGTTGGATGCCAGGGGTTTTCCTGAGGGACAAAATCCACACTGGCCAAAGATCAACTTCATCCCACATCCCAGGGGTCTTCCCAAGGGAGGAAATTCACCCTAGCTCAGGGGAAATCCATATCCCAAGGGTTGCCAGGGCTCTTCCTGAGACAGGAAACCCACCCTGGCTCAGGATCATCCTCATCCTGCACCCCAGCACTGCCAGAGCTCTTCCCAAGGGAGGAAACCCACCCTGATTCTGGAACATCCATATATATCCAAGGGATGCCAGGGCTCTTCTTGAGGGAGGAAACCCACCCTGGCTCGGGGAAATCCATATCCAAGGGATGCCAGGGGTTTTCCTGAGGGAGGAAACCCACCCTGGCTCAGGAGCATCCTCATCCCACATTCCAAGTCTGCAATAGGTTTTCCTGAGGGAGGAAACCCACCCTTACTCCAGACCATCTATATCCAAGGACTGTCAGGGGTCTTCCCAAGGGAGAAACCCACTGCAGCTCCAGAGCATCCATATCCAAGAGTTGCCAGGGCTCTTCCTGAGGCAGGAAACCCACCCTGGCTCAGGAGCATCCTCATCCTGTATCCCAGAGCTCTTCTCAAGAAGAAACCTCACCCCAGAGCATCCTTATCATACCTTTACATCCCAACTGGCAGAGCATTCCTGACTCCAAACCTCTCCTGGTCCTGCACCACCTCCCAGAATTCCAAGAAGGAATTTAGAGAGGAAATCTGGAAATCTGGGGGGAACCTCTCAGCAGTTTCTGCACTGCTCCAAGAACACCCAGGCAAACCCAATCCCAAATCACATCACCCTGGGAATACCAGGCCAGGGAATATCAGGTAAGGGAATATCAGGCAAGGGGAGTATCAGGCATGGGGAATACTAGCCACAAGGAATAACAGGCCAGGGAATAGCAGGCACAGGGAATACCAGGCACAAGGAATAACAAGTACAAGGAATAACAGGCACAGGAAAGACTGGACAAGGGAATAACAGGCAAGGGAATATCAGGTCAGGGAATATCACGTCCCTCCATCTTCAGCTGCCCCTGGATCTCCAGCACAGCCCAGGGTGGGAGACTCCAAGCCAAACCCACAAAAATAAGGAGAATTGGGATTGTTTTCAACAAAATCAATTATTCCCATTGTTTTTTTGGGCTGTTGTGGGGCCAGGGCTGGCACAGGGCCGGGCTGGCAGCTCAGCTCTGGAATTCCATGGGGGAGACATGGAGCAGAGCCATTTGGAATGAGTTAAAACCACAGGATCAGGGCTTGGGGCCACCCAGGCTGGTGGCACTGGGGGACAGGGGAGGTATTGGGGGGACCCTCCGTGCCCAGGGAAGGGGAAGCTGAGCATCTGGTGGAATCATGGAATGGTTTGGGTGGGAAGGGGCAGTGAAGGTTATCCCATCCCACCCCCTGCCATGGGCTGGGACACCTCCCACCAACCCGCGTTACTCCAAGCCCCAAACAACCCTCTCAGCGATGGAGCAGCCACAGCTGCTCTGGGAAACCTGTGTCAGTGTTTCACCACCCTCACAGCCAGGAATTTCTTCCCAATATCCCATCTCTCCCTGCCCTCTGGCAGTGGGAAGCCATTCCCTGTGTCCTGTCCCTCCATCCCTTGTCCCAAGTCCCTCTGCAGCTCTCCTGGAGCCCTCGAGGCACTGGAAGGGGCTCTGAGGTCTCCCTAGAGCTCAGTGTTTAGCTTGAGTGCCTTGGAGCTGATCCCACAGAGACTGTCTGATGAGAAGCTGAGAACCTCAGCCTAGAGCCATCCCAGTCTGCAGCATTCTCAGCTCCATAGGGTCCCAGGCTGGTTTGGGTGGGAAGGTACCTTAAAGCTCATCCTGTTCCACCCCCTGCCATGGCACCAGCTACACAGCACACACAGACACACACAGATACACACAGAGACACACAGATATACACAGATACACACATACAGAGACACAGACACACACAGACAAACACAGATACACACAGATACACACATACAGAGACACACACACAGACAAACACACAAGCACACAGGAATGCACAGCACAGGTGTGGACAGTGCATACCTGGGAATGCACATGGCACAGGCACATCCATGTGCATGGCACACACATAAACACAAACACACACACAGACAGACAGATACACATACACAGACACAGACAGACAGACACACACAGAGACACACACATACACAGAGACATAGACACAGGCTGACACAGACACAGACAGACAAATACACACACAGAGACACGCAGACAGATACACACAGACACAGATACACACACAGACACACAAACACAGACAGACAGATACACACACACACAGACACACATGTACACACAGATGTGCAAACACACCCCCAGTGCACACACTCACAGATGCACACAGCACACACATGGGAATGCACACATTGTCTCATCTCCAAGGGATTTTCCATGGGGAAACCAAGGCTCCAGCACTAAAGGTGTCCATGGACATCCATTCC